GCAAATAGGGAGGAATCCTGTGATAAACAAGAGCCTCCCTTATCGCCTTCCGGGGTAGGGAGAGACCGTGTGGGTACCCACATTGTCGTCAATCATTAAGACCGATTTTCTTTGACAAAATAGTGTATCGTGACTTACTCAAATCCGGAAACCAGTGTTCGTCTCGCCTTATCAACTTTTTATTGATGGGCGTCACCAACGGCTTACCGTATCCGCCGTCTGTAGTCGGCTTCATATGACCGACGATGCCTAAGATTTTTTAACAGATTAACAAAAAGAGGAAGTTCTTTATTCGATTAAATCAGTCTAATGAAAGACGTAACTAGATACAGAGTAAATATTTAAGGTCTTCGGCGTTGTGTTTCGCCGTGTGAGTGAGGTTAGGTACCGGAGGCCCAACCCTCCCTCCCCTTCCCCTATCCCTTCCCAATCCTTATATCCGTAACCCCTATCCCCAAAAGGCCGGCAACGCACTCGTTACTCCTTTGGTGTTGCGGGTGTCCATGGGCGGCGCCAATTGCTTACCATCAGGTGATCCGTCTGCTCGTTTGCAAACTTATACCATAATTTTTATATCTAATTATTTTTACAATGGAAATAATATGTGCCCTATGTAAAACAGATAAGCAATTAACTAGATAATGTTTTCATCTAGCAATACTTATAAGCTGTCTTCTAGTCCAGTACCACACCACTGGGAATGAAAGATTAAAAAGCTGAGGCGCTATCTAACGTATATAGTAGGTAACTGAATTACACAGAATTATTTTCGTTGTTGTGAATACTTACTGTGGACATTAGCTCTATGGTTATTCCTACTTTTGCTCATAATATGCGATTCGGCTTCGGCAGTGGGTAAATGCGTATGGCCCACTGAGCTTAAAGTTTTCGAACGTGCTACAAATTAATAAGGTTTGTTAGGAACTCTTGATTATATAGATGAAAATACTACAAGAAAGCTATATAAGGAGTGAAACTTTTTAATTTGATTGGATGAAATAGTTCCTTGAATGGTGTGAAGACCATCGTTTATGACTTCATCGCTAAAAGTGCTAGTGAAGGGGTTAACCCAATATAAATTTAGCACTTTTCATAGCGGCTGGTAATACGTAGTGTTTATATATTTGGCAGCAGGCTGCAATGTATGAACAAACATTCCTCACGACACATAAGGACCATCGAGGCAGTACTAAATCGATGATCCTAATAATTGTTATCGCTGATAAATGTGGGAAGGTAGAATTGCATGTACTCACTGTCTATAACATTTTCTGTTGGAGGCACGTTGCAAGCTTTGACTGCTGCCAGTGTATCGTTGCTGTTTTCATTTTGTGAGCGTGCTAACAAAAACAATTTCCATTAATTAATGGGGTACATAGTTTTCTCAGTCAAAAATAAACTATTTCGGCATTTCAGTTTAATAAACCATTAACAAAAACAAATATACAACTTGTACTTTCGTTAATTGATTTAGGGCTAATTTTTCAATAGTCGGATAAATGTTATCTGAAGAATAAAATTGTTGCTGTCACTGTCTTATACAAACATTCTGACGCGACAGCATCATAATTATTTCCCAGGTAACTTTTAACTAACCATTGAAAAATCAGCTCTTATTCGATAATTTATTTTATTTTATTTTCTAGAAATTTCTTTTGGCCCAAAAATATAATAAAACAGTCAAAAGTTGCGCTTCCATACAAAAGTATAGTTATGAGTGGTGATGAGTGACATCGGATAAAAGTATTGAATTTGACTTCTGGGAAACTACTGTACTAACATTTAATTAGCTTCTTTGCCAATAGTGGCGCTAGTGTGATTTAAAGTCAGACGAATTCATTCAAATTGCAAACCTTTAACGGTTTTGACAGCGGTGATCAAGATAAGCGATCTTCTAGCAATAGGTTTTATAATTGTAAATAGTTTGGCGGTTTTAACACATAAGTATAACATTAACGTATTAGGAACTAATAACTTACTTCATCTACTTAAAACTAAACTGCTATAAAGTTACGCAAACTCAGATACTTACGTGTCAATATATCCTTTTCAACGCCATCTTTCTCTTTGGGTCGTTCTGCGCTGGGCTGCCCTACGCATACATTTAAAATAAATTATCTTGTAAACCAGCTCTTTTTCGCAATAGTGATTAAACCTATAGTAGATGAAACAGTACCTTCATTCTAAGTACATTTTTCAACAGATACACCGAAACCTGATCGCCTGATGCGAGCTAGATTTACCGATAGAACTGATTGAAGTTCAGCGCTCTGATTGGCCCGCTCCATGTTAACACATTCAGTGCCCCCGACGCGTATGTGCGTTTCCTCGCACGCACATACGCGTCGGGGGCACTGAATGTGTTAACCGACCAATCAGCAGGCTAAACGTAGAAAGGTTTAAATTTTAAATACAAATAAGGTACTCTAAGGCTGAGTACTCTGAGCGGTCGGTGAGATGGCGAGTGTCTACTTGCAATTTTCACGTGTACCTATTCTTTTGTTACATTGTTTTGGCAGGTGCCACGTCCTTCCATATTTTCATCATACCAGTCCATAGCAACCCACGCCCATCCATTATTTCCATTATCCGCATACGAGGATTGTCGCCGGTTTGAGTTCATTTCATTTAGATTAAAGTTGTCTAAAGGGCCTCTCTCTTGGCTTTGGCCCCTCGTACACTTCCCAAATGACCGGGAACCAAAAGATCCCGTGATTGGTAGAAAAAAATTGAATAAAAACTGGTGCACTATTTACATACGAGATGAGGTTCGGGCTTCGTCTTGCTTCGCTTTAGGAGAGTTCACTTCGTGTGAACCCGATGTCGAAGCGGAGTTACTTCTGCTGCGAGGTGTCTTCACTATGCCCCACACTGTCATCCCTTTCATCTCTTGCCGAAGCCCTATTTTATATAGATGTGTAAATACATAATATTTTATATTAAATCAGCGTCAGAAAGTGGGAAGTCTCCTCTTACTGTGAAGTTATGCTCGTAAAAAAGGAGGCAGACTGCATGAGGGATCTATTCTCCTCCTCACGCCCCAGGCGCCGTAGTAGGCCATAATCTGGGCGTCGGAGATCGAGAGACGATCTCCGGCCACCGGAAGCACGAGTCTGCGGACTGCGAGTAAGGGTAGTTAGCCGCCCGACCAGAACCAGACGGGAGCGTACGGCGCGTAACGTTCTACGCGCGCCTCATAAAGCCAATAGACCACCACAGACTAAGCCCTATAGGACTGTTTTCGTGGGTTACGGGGTAAGCGCGATGAGGCACCTAGAGCAGGAGAAGGAACGGGGGCTTTCAGTCAGTAAGAGTCTGACACTTCGTGTCGCCTCACCCTGGGCGGGAGAAGTCATTACATGATTTACCCCTGACAAAAAAGACGCGGACGAAGTCGCGAGCAGAAGTTAATAAATCAAAAACGAATCTACATGTTTATTTTGTAGGTACTCGGGCAATTAATCGCGCAACAGTACAACGACTTACGTGAAGCATTGCTCTCTCTGTAGCGTATGGGCGGAGGTGGTATGGAGACAGTAGCGGCACTCGATGTCACACTGCGCCCGCAACCCAATGACTGTGGCCGAGATGACGAGCCTACAGCAACACACATGTGCCCTTTGTTATATGATAAAATTACACTAAATAAATTAGAGGAATCCACTGCAGGAGAAAAGCCTTTATCATACTTTAGCTTTAGTGTGTACAAAGGAAAAAATCCGAAAAAACTTCTCATCTCAACAACTCAACATCTGAAATATACTAATAACAAGCCTCCAGATATATGTAGGTACTTACAGGTTATAATTTTTTTGTTGTCGTAGGATGTTTGTCGAAATCTCGACGTATGGCTAATTGAAATCCGCGCTAACTATAAAATTAAGCGCGTTCCATACACTCGTATAATTCTAACTTTGGGAACACTTTTTCCTGATAAATTATGTAACGATATTCGACAATAATTGTATAAACAATAGATACATTAAAGTTTTGTTGTCATCTGATACACAGAGTCGTATTTGCCTAAGAAAAACTAGGCAAATGCCTATGGCGCCAGGTTATGGCGGGGCGCCAAAGTATGATCACGGCTCTGAAGATCTTTAAAAAAAGTAAGTAGCTTGCCTAAGGCGCTCACCAGATTCCTCTGCTTATACATACATATATTAAATATACTAAGTACATATTTAGGAAATGGGACCAAAGGATGACAATAATGAAACCAAAATTACATGAAATTGTTTATTAAATACATAACAACACAGTTATACATAATTATAACTAATGTACTAGATACATAACTAATGCATTCTATGCGAACTCATACAGTCTATCGCTTGTCAAACAAACTCAATTACATTGTCAAATTGTTTAGGCACAGAATTTAACCTTTCAATCGTGGTAATTAGTAAGACAATAGGTCCGCGAACGTTCGCTTGGGAATTACTGTTTACAGCATTTAAATAATATATATTGATTTTTGAATGCCACAAAACCTGGACCGGCCATTTTCGAATAACTATTGTGATGCAATATTACCAAACTTTTGTGAGAATCGTTCATGATATATCACTTAGAACAATAGCTTGGTGAAGGACCAACAAAATGACTAATTAAATTACAGTTATATTGTAATTGCAATTTATAGCGACGATAAATTATTAAAATATCAACCTTATTCAAAAGGTTCTAAATCACAAAATGCAATAACTACTTATACATACGTACAGATATAGCGAACGTGTCCAGTATAAAATTCTTTTATAATAGGAACAATATCCAACAAAATAATAATAATAATTCAAGCTTAGAATGTTTAAAAACACTAAATATACTTAGGGCTGAATTTTCAATGGCCAGATAAATGTTATCTGAGGAATAAAATTGTTGCCGTCACTGTCTGTGTTCCACAAACATTCTGACGCAACAGCATCATAATTATTATTCACCAGATAACTTTTATTTAACCATTGAAAAATCAGCTTTTAATGTAACAAGTTTTTTAAAATTATACTTTAACAGTAACAAAAAACTACCAATGAATAATCTGTGGGCCTGGATACGCTCTAGGCACATAAATGAGCAAAGAAAAATATCTACATTCAATCTCCTAGCTATTCGTTTCTGTCTGTACGTTCGATTCTTGCAAACAATCACTATCTATTTTACTATTATTTTCAGATTTAGAAGCAGAATCAGTGCTAAGCTTTCTATTGTGAACATGAGACATTTTATTAACTGTATCTGTAGGTTTAGAAGAGTCTAAACCAGGGAGTTGTTTTTCTGTTTGACCGTTGCCATGGTTACAGGTTCGTTTGGTGAGGTCATTGCCCTGGCTAGGGCTACGTGCTCGTTTGGGTGTGTTAGTACCGGACATTGGTGCAGGCGAAGTTTGTCGGTCGCGCTGTCTCTGCCTCTGCGCCGCCTTCAGTTCCATCTCAACGCAATGCTCTGCAAACATAAGCTGCAGCGGCGCGTACATGTGCGGGAGGAGGTCCAGGTCGCTCATTGTGATCTGTTAAAACAATATCATTGGATTATGAATTTTATGGATACTTTTACTCTTAAATTGTTAAATTCGATGGCATTTGTATGAGACAGAGTGATTTTCCTATTCATAGGCGATTTTATTTATCCTGCAGTCATAGTTCCATTGTATTTTCTTGGTACTATAGTACGATGGTATTCATCGCGAACAAGGAATGGGCATTCAGAATTTATATGAAATTATTAACATAATGGCGTTCTATTGTATTTATTTGGTGTTTTATTGTCTCCGCGTCCCCTAATGGGACAGATAGTTAATCGTGACAATATTGATGTGTGTACAAACCTGCATATTATCAAAGGCAATGCCGACGCTGTTGTTATCGTTCAGTATATGCGCATTGAGTCGCGGCAGGCGCGCGTATCTCTGGCTGAAGTGCGTGAGTACGGTGTACCGCGCGTTCATCTGCCGGCCGATGTCGATCGCTTGTGTTGTTGTGGAATGCATCTTCATCCGAGCTTCATCTGCTAACTCGTCCTCCATTGTCGCTTCGTGAATTAATAAGGTTGAATTTTCTCCTGCAATTTTAAATTATTTTTAAGTTAAAGTTTTCTGCTAGGCTAGTAGGGATCGCGCAGGACCTCGTTGCAAAGTACTTTTATAGTAATACTAGCAGACCCGGCAAACGTTGTTTTACCATATAAATTATTCCGAAAGAAAATGTTTATGGTTAACATTCTTTGTCACTTAGGAGTATGAAAAATTACCTATTACCCGATTCTCAAACCTACTGAATATATAAATAAAAAATGATAAAAAGGAGTAAGCTACCTTACACAAGAATTTTATATATGAAACAATGAATTTATTTTTGTAAGTAGGCCATAAACGTCACTTTTACACGTCAAAATTTGTAAATAAAAATATGAGGCCGGTATTTCCTATCAAACTAGTCTGGGAATAAAGGCCGAAACAAACTCAGAGGACCGTCTCTTTTCAAGTCCAGTGACACTGTCAAAAATATTATAACGTGTGAGTATTGTGCAAGTTCATTCCGTAGTGGTCTTAGGAGGAAAGAACCACACCAGTTTAAGTGGGCCCCTTCTAACGAAAGGCAAAAATATATAAGATGGGATCGCGCCAGTACTCACGGCAGAGCAGTTTTATGTGGGAACACGCGGGCGTCCTCATAACACAATTTCAAGTATAAAACTTAATAAAATCTTAAAATAAACATTACATGAAAACACCATTAAAAACAAAAGAATCCTTACCGATCTTCACCAGCTCCTCACAAGGCAGGGTGTCTCCAGAGTAAGTGACTTTGTACCCATCATTCAAATCGACGGCGACTCCGAAAGCGTTGGGACAGTGCGCCACGAAGCACGTCTTTATATTTTGCACGCCCATAGCCGCTAGCACTGCTGATGTCACTTCTGAGTTCTGCTCGTGGTCGTAAAGCTGGAAAAAGGCATAAGTAATATAAATTAGTTCAATTATTCCTTACAGACTTGTAAAAGAGGTTATCAAATTAGACCCTAATTGTTAAAGAATGATAATTGATAAGACTAATAAGAACAAAGCAATCATTTGTACAATTTTCCTTTTAAAATAATCCCTCGGTTGTTAAAGTAATCCAGACCTTAGATTAGTACCTATCGACCAGAATTACTGGTTTTTATGTACTATTTTTATTTAAAAATAAGACTTACCCACTCTAAGATTTTCTATTATGTCATAATTGCGTTTGCAATCATAGAATTAGACATACACATCAAACCTAGACAATAATTTACCGAGAAATTATTGTGGCAGGCGCTGCGTCGATTGTGCAGTTAGTTAGTATAACAAAAAATGTATAACATATACATGCTTGGAGCAGAAGTGGAGGAGCAATTCGGCTCGACTGGAGTAACACCACGGCCTCGCAGAAAACCGGCGTGAAACAACCACAGCGTTGTTTCGCCCAAAATCTCCAAATCCCTAATCCCCGAAAGGTCGGCAACGCACTCCTAACTCCTCTGTTGTTGCTGGTGTCCATGGGCGGGGTGATTGCTTACCATCAGGTAATCCGTCGGTTCGTTTGCCGTCATATCATATAAAAAAAGGTTGTCTACTAGCCATAAAATCAACACGTAAACATTACTTACAAGATTCTGGTTTGGTATTAGAGTGAACTCGCTCTTAATCTTCTCAAACTGATGGTCGTACCACGTGAGCCATGTGATGATTTGTCCCGGGGCCAGTAAGTAGAGGGGAGGTGGAGGGGGAGTGTCGTCACCCACTGGACCTAGTTCTTGTATCGCTTCACGACGCGCTTGAATCACGCCGATTAAACCTGTAAATAATATTGAATGTAGAGTTGTATTGCCTTTATTGAATTGGGGTTTATGTAATAACAACATTGGAAGAGAGTTGACTTAGTTAATCAGAAGATCGTCTTGAATAGAAAGCAATAATAAATAATGACTGAGCATTAAAATAATATGTGATTTATAAAAAAACGTTGTAACACTAAAAGCGGTAAAAATGTACAAGGGGAAACTTATACTAGATTTTGGTTAAAACAGAATGAAACTAAGGAAGTTTTTCTAAAAGACTTACCAATATGATGATCGGCATGTAAATGAGAAATATAGATCGCTTTCAGTGTCCTCAGAAAGCTGTTGACTTTCTTGGGCCCGTAGAACCGCACCAGCTGACCGAAGGTACCTTCTCCGCAGTCCAGGAGAATCGATTTATTTTCACTGCAAAATAATAAGAAATTTACTAATGCTAATAAAACATTTTCTTTCATTTTAGCGCATGGTTTTCAGAGCATCATTTTACGAGTCACGCCAACCAGTCGTTATTTAAAATTACCGAACTTAAATAACCAATACTTACTCAATTTGCAGCACAATAGCGCTAGTATTCCTCGTCTTGCTAGGTATACACGACCCCGTGCCCAAGAATACCACCTTGGGGTACTCCTTAGAATCACACCGTGTAAACCTCATACTGTCCACGAGATGACGGAACTGCTCCAAGCTGCCGACGAAGCCATCTACGTCCATCGTCTCCTGAATGTAGCTTTGAATATGTAGCTTCGGTTCTGCCGTCCTGAGGTAGAAAATGAAAGTAATTTGTGATTGATGTTATCGAAAGCGTTTTCAAAGTCGAAGAAAATCTTCATGAGATTATAATTAATAATGGGGTTTCAATTCTAAGAGAAAAATTGCAATATTTTGTTGTTAAATGTTATGAAAAATATTTAGTTTTTATTCCGCGACAAATGACAAATGACCTCGTTTGTTCAAGCTCAGTAAATTATTTCCTACGTATATATATATATATATCCTATGTATACTAAATTGCCTTTATGTAAAATATGATTAGCAACTCACCTATCTAACTGCTTCTTAGGCCTCAAATGGTACATGGTAAGCGTCCTGCCCGCCATTAACTCCAACTTGGAGACAGAATCACATTCTTCGACAGCGGGCTGATGTCCATCGCCCTTAGCTGACCCCTCCAAGTTAATAATATTCTGGAACTGCGCGAGCGCTATCTACAAATTATTGTATTACATCGCACCTTCACCCCACGCAAGCTAAGCTACGTAGTATTAAATTTAGCGTACATATAATATAAGCAGTTTACTTTTACATTTGGCAAAGGAAAGCTGTTAATTTCTTCATATATTCATTCAATTTCCTTGTTGAAGTGCTATTTCTATGCATGTGTTAAGAAGATAGTGTAAGTAATTTAGATATAAAGTAATAATTAGTATATGATATAGTCAAAAATGAATTTATTAGTAAACTTACACATAGACAGCTCTCGTGGTAAACATCCATTATTCTGTTAATCTCATGGAAGTTTGTAATAATTATGTTATGAATTTCTAATTACAATTGTGTTACTATGTGTAAAACACGCATGCTTGATGCCTAAATTGCAAAACATTTTGTGACAACAGTAGTGCTATTTGCTCTTAATTTCCTGTATGATTTCTCAAACTATAAGACACATTCTGGGAAAAAGTAAAAGCACATATACATGCACAATGTTAATCCCATCTGTACAGTACAGAAACCCACTGGGTGAAACTTTCTAATTGACAAGCCTAATAACAAAACCCAAGAAACATTATCATTATCGGCCTCGAATCGCCTGATTTATTTTAACATCCAAACTAATATTGTAAATGCGAAAGTAACTCTGTCTGTCTGTCTTTTCTTCACGCCTAAACTACTGAACCAATTTCTGTGATATTTGGTACAGATATAGGTTGGAACTCAAGAAAGGACAGAGGATAGTTTTTATACCAAAAATCTGCAGGAAGTGACTATTCCACGCGTACGTAGTCACGGCCAAAAGCAAGTTATTTATATTATTTCCATGTTTCTGTCAATCATGATCGGTTATGTAAACAACAACAAAATAAAAACATCACACCAGAAAGCACCGTAACCAAAAAAGGCTCACAAAGACACATACCTTATTCTTAAGTTCCTCAAGCCCCTTTAACCGTATGGGACTGTTGGTCTTCGGAACGGGTGGGTGGGCATCCCATACAGCTGGTACGCTGACGTCCCTCAGCAATGGGAATATGTCCGGGTCCAAAAGGTGCAGCTTATGTTGTGTTCGGTGCACTGCTTCTGAGCCTAAGCAGGAGTTCTGTGCGTTTAGGACAAGGTGTCGGGTACACGGGCCAAACTTCGCCATGAAGGCTCGGTACCTGTGGAGACAAGAGTTTGGGTTGGGTTGTGGAAAACATTTATTATCTTTATCCTACTAACATTATAAATGTGAAAGTCTGTGAGAATGTGTGGATTCATGTGTGTTGTTATTTTTTCTTACTCTGTATATAATTTTTTGTTGCGTTATATTTATAGGTAAGCTGAATTATTACTATATTACAGCTTCGAATAAAATAAAACGTTTTATGGTACCCGTAGCTTGAATTTACATATACAACTGCGAAACTTGAGACTATTAGAAAGGCGTAGAAAACCACGTAAAATATCTCTGTATTTGAGTGTTATGCTCAGTGAAAAATAATAAATTTCCCTTATTGATTTGCCATAAAACTGCTTTTAGATTTTTTATTACAGATTCTTACGAAATAAGTAGGCCTATTTGACGCCAAAGACCGTTTTCAACAATTCGATTAAACGAATGAATTTTACAAGGTGTCGAATATCATATTATATCATCATTAATATTAGGCAGACAGTAGATATACTTACGTGAGGTGATGGAACACGTGTGGCGGAGTGAAGTGCACGATGAGCGCAGGGATGTTCTCCGGTGGGTTGGTGTCATTGTCGAAGTGCGCTGAGAACTCATTCTCTTTGAGATATGTCACATCTGGTACGTCCAACACTATAAAAGAAAATGACAGTCTGTATTATTTTTACGAAGAATTTTCGAACAATCGAAAACAGTCAAAACAACTTGGCCTTATACAGGAATCGAACACGAGACCCCGCAGGAGTCATTCTTGTAGCCACTCGACCGTTCAGGTGAGAGCCTTTATATAATTTTTCCATGACAGTAAATAGTTGGCATCATTTGCTCTACATTTCAAGAAAGGATAATTAATTATCTGACCAGATTAGTTTTCACTGAATAGCCAGCTGAAATCCAAATTCATACTAAGTTGTTATGCTTACCAATAAACACAGGGCCTGGATCATCAGGTGTCTTCACGTCCTTGGACATGACGAGTGAGCCATCAGGCAGCACTACATCTTGTCCACTCTTCAGCTGACCCAGCATCGGACCGGGCTTTACGCCCAGCTCCACACACTTCGCCAGGTCCAGGGTACCGAGTCGTTTCTAAATAGAATTTAACAAATACTTATTGCATTAAACAGCTAAAAATTAAAAGGAAAGGAAGATGAACATGTTGAGTAAAATGAAACATTTTGTTATAGACAATGCAATAGATGAAACAAAGATATTGTGATGACATACTAGCTTAATATCTTTTTCTAATTTTTATAAAATATCTGTCATTGCGGAAATCTGTAACGAGTGTGTGTTGTCTAAGTGGCTTAAATTTAATATTGCTTAGTATTTTCCTTCAAAACAATAATTTTAGACATGTTAAATTAGATTAATTGTAAATCTGTTAAAAAATACTTCGGCTTCGGCACGAGCGGGCAGAATCGACAAAATTTATATTACATAAAATTTGATATTACATAAAAAGCAGAGTGAAATATCGCTTTCATTGTATCGTAAGGCCAACTTTCCCTCCATCTACCTATACCACATAGTCCTCAAATCCTTAAAATCGAAAGGGCCGACATAGACTTTGTAACCCGTCTGGTGTTGGACACGAGATTGCTGACCATCAGGTGATAGACCATTTGTCTTCTCACTGGCATACCTAATGTTGCTCTCACCTTTAGAGTACAGATGTAGGCTACAGAACAATTGCTTTTCTTCTGGAGGTCATGTAGAACCTTGTCAGTCTTTTTCTTTGCGGCATTTTCTATGTGAACAATATTGAAGGTTATAGTTTTGGCAAAGCTTAGATACTTTGGGCATTAATGTACAGAAAGAGTAGTCTATACTAATATTATAAAGAGGTAAAATTTGTAAGTTTAGTATGTAGGGGGTAATCTTTGGAACCGCAGGTTGGATTGCCAAAATTCTGGTTGGATTGACAATGTTCCTGAGTGCTACAGATTAAAAAATATCACGCTACGATCAAATGGAACTAAACAGCGGGTGAAACCAAGCGATAGTACCTAGCTAGTAATAGATAAAACAACCAATAAGTTGGCTCAGTATTTAAAGTGTAGATAATTTTTGAATGGAGTTTTAAAAACGAGTCCTCAGTCGTTTACTACTTAAAAAAATAGATACTGAAGTTAACTTTACATTCTAAATTAAAACTAATGTCAATAGACAATTTGAGACCATAGACAAACACATACACCAAACTTACCTTTTTCCGTGTGTAATGGTTTTGGTTTAACCTTTTCCCTGAGATTTTTAGCTCTTTGAGGGTTAGCTGAGTTAGGCTCCAAGTTACGTATATCAGACCTATAGTAATCAGTGTCATCATGAATAAACTCCTCATACTCCTTGTCCGAGTTTGAATCTAATCTTGGCTTTTTAGCAGCTGGTTTTTCTTTGCCTTGAAGTATATTGTCATTGGGACCTCTGGAATTAAAAAGATACATATGTATTAGTATTAGTAAAAGAGACAACTTCAAAGAAGGTTATTCTTGCTTTCTTTAGTGAAAATGTTGCCCTACACTAGGATTTTCTCCCGTGTTGTGGATGCGTAATTGCGTAACAAACATACAATACCATAGACACATCACACTCTAGAACAACAATTTGTAGATCACATCACACAACAAATTGTTCCGTGCGGGAATCGAAATGGCGCGGCGACACGTTGCCCAGCAGCCAGTTGTATACTTTTGTGCAAAGTATATAAATACAGCAGGGATATAAAAAAAATTGTCATTTCCACATTTCATCAGAATGCGAGTTTTTTTTCATGCTAAAGGCAAAGGCAACTCGCTCTAGGCAGTGTGTCATGTTAAGTTGCAGAACAAAAATCATATGTATATCACCTTGATCTAAAAATAACTAATTTGGGGAAAAATAGTCCTTATCATACTCACAATAGAATATATTCGACCCTCATAACATTGTCTTCAAAGTCTTCAGAAGGAGTACACTTGGCCATTGTCACATTCATATCTTTCATTATAACAAACCTCTTTGTTGCTGTATACAACTCATCCTGGAATTTAAAAAACAAATTTATTCTAATTTGCAATACAAAATTGGATATAAGAATCATATGAATTGGATACAAATAAAATATTTATTAGTTTTTGTCAAAGTAAATATGTAAAGTAGTAATTAATTTATAAGTATTCCAAAAATTAATGTTTTCCAAGTTAAAGATGGGTGAATAGATACCAGGAAAATTGGTACACTTCTAGTTAACCCTTTTCTGTATCTTTTCTCCTCATTTTACATTACCATTTTGCTAGAAGCTTAAGACAATCTATATCCTCAAAATTACATGTAGATTATATTTCCACTCACCAAGCCTTCGGGTCCATGCAATGTTATATTTGGTACTCCAACATCCTGCAAGGTGAGAGACAGTCCTGGTAGGCCTCCAATATTGCGCCATGTTTTACTAGTAATGAAGATGTGATCCAGACGGGACAGTTTCACTTTGTGCTCATGAGCAAGCCTCTGTGTGCATTCACCACAGTTGAAGAGATATCTGGAAGAATACTAAACTTTGTAATACACATAAATTATTATTTTAGGCTATACTATAGAAATACAGATTTGGTGATACACAAATTAAGCAATATAATATTAATATAAATGTATAAAATGCATCTCAAAATATGTTACTAGGCACATAGCTCAACAATCTCTGGACCAATTCTGTAATATTTTTTTTTGTTTTATTTGGCATTTTCATTGTAAGTTCCTTATGAAGGCAATTTTTACAAAAGAAAAGGGGATAATTAGGAAATATTTCATCTTTGGCCAGATATTTAGACATCCAGATAAAGCCGGGATTAAGCCCCAGTGTAATATAGATATGCAGAACTTGTGTAGCAAAAAAAACATGTGACTGTGGAAGTCAAAATACTTTATCATCATGTTATTATACAGAGATTTTTTTGAGGAATGTTATGAATAAAGAAGTAACCAGTGCCAAGTAAAATTCAATAAAACAATAGTTTTTCAGTAAAGAGATTGTTACTTCTTTTACCTTAAAACTAAAACCCTTAGTTAACAAAGATCTATGCTAGACACAGCATATTATTAGAAAATGATGCAACATGCTTGCAATTAATTACATTCTGCTTGTTTGCTTTTTTACTTAAACAAGACCCAGTAAAAACTAACTGTATATATTACCCTGGACATTTAAATCCGAAGATCAATAAACTGTATCATTAATAAAAAATACTACTTTGTGACTCAGTCAGTAAGTGCCCAAGAAGATAGGAAGACCATGCTTAGGTACCATACATAACACAAACAGGCATATTGTTTTGATATGAAAAGTTATCAATTTGCAACTTACCGTTTTTGGTCTGTAAAGAGATAAAGCGTGTTGGGGGCTCCCCTTGCGCCAGACCCAATTACCTGAAGGTACACAGTACTCGGACCATATTTCTCACTCTTTTTTGATATATGTTGCCTTTGACGTTGAGCCTCAGCGATTCTTCCTGAAGTCGCTTTCGGCATATCGGCTAGAAATTCCAACAGCTTCTTAGTACTATCAGACGAGTAAGGACGTAAGCTACGTTTACTAACTACACGGGAACTAAACAATACACTTATACCGTACATGTGTTTTGAGGTTATTGATATATCGAGTCAAAGTTTACGAGCATTCGTCCCAGATTTTTACACGTAATTGCTATTTTTGGCATAATACATAATTATTTACTTATTACTTTTCATGACATATTTTCAGATTTGGAATATTATTTGAGTTTGCTCCCGATATTCAGCATTTTCCAAACTTTTTACATTTGACATTAACTTGACTGATTTTGACATTTGTCACTGGCATTCGCAACAGTTCGAATGGAAGGATAATATTAAAAAAGTTCACTTTATTTATACCACCATCAGAATATAAAATAAAAATATTTGTAAAATGAATAAATTGTTTCAAACGAATAATAGAAGACAGATTAATCACAATTTAGGGATAATTAAATATTAGGGTTGCATTGCACACACAAAAAAACTACCAAAAATATTGCTACGTTGCAATATGAGTAATAGTAGTAAATTGAATAATTAAGTTGAAACACTGATTTAGAAAAATGGCGTTCTATACAGCTGCGGGTTGCGCAATTTTTATGTAAATGTGCACGAAATTTATTAGAAAAATTAAGTTATAAGTGCAACAAATATTTTTATGTTTTATGTAGTTTATAAAGTAAAAAAAGCATATAGTGTTACAATATTTTTAGTTCAGTGCAAACCTGTCATGGACCGTGTATTTTTTGTGTTGTGATGTATGAAAACGATAAATAATGAAACGGAAAATAATACGGCTGTGCAAATAATGTGACAATGATGGGTATGATATGGGTGGTGTTATTGGTGGCCTTGACCGGCTCACACTTGGGACACTGTTCGCCTCTCCGATCAACGCCGCAAACCTACCCTCATGGTGAGTCACTTTTTCGAAAAGTTCATGTTTTATATTAATTAAGTCATTAAATACATCTTCTTTTGTCGCCTATGGGTGCAAGTGAAAGGTACAGGCAATACGTGTTGATTTTTTGTCACTGAAAATAATGCTAGCAATACTAACATCTGTTCATATTAGAAAAAGGAAGTTGGAATAATTTGTAAAAGGAAATGATTAGATATCCGTTATAAGTGAGCTCTAATCACTACAAATATACCCGCAAATTATTTACAATAACTTCAAAGCCCAGTTCCTCCTATTATGCCTCTTTGTACAACATTCAAAGCTTGGCCTTCCATCTAAACATATTTATATGTTGTCATATGTATACAAAGTTCAAGCTGAATGCTATACTACATTTTGTATGAAATGTATAACTCCATAGATACTTTTAATAAAAACATGATATTGAATGATTAAAACAATCAATCTGTATAATATTTTGGTGTAAGTAATAAAAAAATATATAATCTCTTATGTCAAGGTGTAAAAATATGTGGAAAGTAAATAAACACTCCTTATCTCCTTTGTTATCTAAACACTGTTATCTTTGCTTTTATTATTGTTTGGTTATTAAAATAATAGTTATTTTAATTATCATAACCAGGAAATACCTGTGAGATTAGTGACAATACTATCATTAAATATGTATATTACTGCTAAAATTATATTTAATTATTCACATGAAATTACCTAATTGGATTCTGGTATGCTGGATGCATCAAAATCGAATTAATAATATTGTATTTTGTAATTATAAGCTTACAATATTGTGTTATTATGCTATATTATGTCCATAAATATATTAATCTTGTCAGTTACAAAACAATTAAGTGGAAGTCATTAATAATTTCTTAATAGTTCATTGCAACTTCGAAATTCAGCCTAGATCAACTAATTCTTATTGGAATCTTTCATAACATGATATTCATGATTTTTATATTTTAATTCTGTAACTGGTTTTTAGAGGTGTGCCCCAGTTATTTTTGACAGCACAGATTATTAATTATAGTTGTTAATTTTAACAAACAATATGTTGACAATATAAAACACAAACAAAACAAAATATCTGATTTAACAATCAATGAATAAATAGAAATACAGGTAATTGTCACTTAAAATATTTATACATTGAATTTAAAGTGCACACAAAATATACTTTGTCTACAGATGCAAGTTCCCAGTCTCAGTTGGAGATCTGGGGCACCCAGGGCGGCTTGTATGCGGCAGTGCCTGCACTGGTGTTCCTCATTACTGCAGTCGGCCTGCTCCTTGGTTGCACCTGGTGCTACCGACATAAGGATTGCAAGGTAAGAAAAAAAATCTATATTATAATTCATACATAGCATAAATATTTAAACAATCTGTGGATAATTGCTCCTTAGTCTAGATGTGATGATGTGGAGTGTGTGCACTTAATGTAAAACCTATAGAAGGTAGTTATAAAAGAAATTGTGTTAGTAAAATGTGTTAATTATAAAAAAAATTCAATGTGTACCCTTGAAAGAACATAACAAGCAGTGTTACAACAAGCTCAAAAACACCATAATTATGTTTTTTAAATGTATTCATTGAAATTATTGGTTAATTTAAAAATGTTTTGTGAAAGCACAAAGCATTATACAGGGTTGAATTAAGAAACAACTAATTGGTTAAAAGTACATTGAATTTTCACTAAATTTTCATTATAAATAAATAGTAGCTGACTAACTAGCAACAATTTGTAGGATGTCATTATCACTTTTTTATGCAATCTTTAATTTATAGGGATATATTGATATCCTATTGTTCAGCTGTTCAAATATTTAGTGTAAATAATATGAATTGATAAGAACTATATACTGAAAACTATTGAAAATAAATTATTAGTTCTATTAGTTAAAACATTAATCTTTCTTTTGTAATAAACCAAAATAAGTGTCAGTGTAATTGGTAGGTGTGGTTATAGAAAATGCATATGACATTATAAGCCTAATACTACATTAATTTTATATGTTAATAAAATTGCAACTACCAACAGTGAAATTAACATTTATTTCCCACATAAGTAACATTCAACTTCTTATAACTATAAAAATTTCATTAATATGAAAACAATCTATTTCATACTCAGCCGGTGAGAACTCAGTACTCAGTCTTGATCAGATTAGAGATAAATAATACCTACATATGTTTAAGGTGTTGAACTGTAAAAATTAATGGTATTCTACTAGTATAATTCAGACATTAGCAGGCCCTGTTTGCCTGTTAAATTTTATCTTATTCTGTTGTTTAGCAGTTTTTGTGCTAAGGTCTGATGAGCATAAGAGCTTATTTATTCATATATTGTGTCAAACATTTTGAAAAAAATTACAATGTTTTGGCTTCTTTTCAACATCCTTATTGAGATGGTTGTTTGTCTAGAGTCTAGCTAGATAATACGAATCTCTTACTCTAGCCAAGTTGTCTATCGTTTATCAAACATACTATATCTACATAGTCACACAATCCACGGCCATTTAATATCGATTCTTGTTTGAAAGGCGGCGGAATGCATCAACTGTCAATTCCCATGTATGCAACAAAAGTCACTAAGGGTCACCATTGTGTGCAGGTGAAAGGTTAATAACTTGTCACAGTTTACACGGCGTTGCGTTTTAATATTATGTATACACAAACAGTATCTTTACCAATTTTATTTTCTGTTGGAAATATTTTTTGAGGATTTCTGTTTTTAATTTCGTTTTTGTTTACTTTAGTATGAAACGTATTACGATGTCGTCTAACGCGTTTTCGTTATATTAATCACACAATTGGATAATGTTTCACTTAAATTCGATTGTCAATCACACGAAACAGACATTTATAAATGAGCTAATATTTAGACCCGATTTCTGAAAGGTAATGTGTATCACTCGTCTTGTGTTTTCTGCCCTCCTAATTTTCTTCCTTCAGATACGAAAATCATGGCTTAAAAACGTCATATCCCGATTTGTTAATAAGACAACACACAATATAATCAGGTGTTAAAAATAATAACCAGAATAAATCAACCTCTTTAATCGTCAATTACATACAATGTACTTAAATAAATTCGCTATGGAAAGTAAGATTCTTTTCTAAAAGTAGTTTATGACCCAATAAAATCATTTATACTGATAGTTTGGTTGTTTCATACACTCGTCTGTACTAAATAAAGGTGAATAAACTTTATCAGTTTGTAAACAATAACACAGTTTGGGTTTTAGTTCAATAGACTACAAATATGTATGTTAATTAGGAAATATTAGGAGCCATTAACATATTTTTTGAATAGTTGCTATTATTTTTATCTTTACCAAACGTGATATGTTTATAATATAGGCTGTGAAATAAAATATCATCGAAAACACGTTAATATGATACCCAGATAAACAAAAATTATACATATATTTAAATAGATAAATGAAATATATTAACATTTGAATACCTTAAATTCTAAAGCATTAAGGTTTATCTTTCAATACACATGAATGAACTGGGACCGTTATCACTACAATTACAATGGATAACACAATTAATCCTCGTTGCGGCCGTCATACACTCGGTCCCATGTGATGGCTAATAAAAGTTGCAGTTGTGTATCTAATCAGTGGCCGACGGACGGGGTCAACGCACCCGGCACGCCCTCGAACACTATACACGCGCAAGACAATAGTGCAGATCCCGTGCGCCCTCGAAATGAACATCTCTTCGACTACCGAGCGAATTAAGAGTCCCCAAATAAGAGAGACGTAAGATTACCATACATTTACATAGGCGGTTGTTAATACGGAAAACTGGCCTCCAAATATCTAGTACAAAGAAAGTAAGATGTTCGTGGAATGAGGACTAAAACTAGTGATATTTACAAAAATATTTTGCTGACTAACTATGATGTAATAGCATTTACTGAAACTTGGTTGAACCCTAACGTTACAAATGGAGAGTTCATTGACCCGCGATATTCGTTGTATCGTAGAGATAGATTAAGTACAAAGGCATCTAAAAAAGACGGTGGTGGGGTGATGGTCGCAGTTAATAATAAAATTAAATCTGTAAGAATAAAAAGTTGGGAAAGTGATTTTGAAGATTTATGGTTGTCTGTTGAGTTAATTGTCAACAATAATATTAAGAAAATAGCTATCTGTGTTATCTACATGCCACCTCCTGTCAAACTGAATGATTTACAATGCTTCTTGAATAATGTTAACAACATACTAAATAATGTCGATGATGTTGTGATTCTTGGGGATTTTAACCTGGGCTTTATTGATTGGAACATGAATAATGACGATCTACATCTATCGCCGTCAAATTATGAAAATTCACTGGGCTACACATTGGTAGACTTTTTGTCAATTAATTTGCTCCATCAATTCAACTCTATTATAAATGCTGAAAGTAGAATTTTAGATCTAGTATTGAGTAACATATCGGATATAACAGTTACTAAGCCCAACGACTTGCTTAGCAAATTAGACTCCCATCACCCGAACATCCTTATATCTATTCCGCTCTCGAACTTAAAACAGTTAAAAACAAAATATCGTTCAGGTTACAACTTTTTTAAAGCAGATTATACCCAAATCAAGACCTATCTTAAAAACACAAATTGGCGTGATGCTTTCCATGAATGTATGGATGCTAACGAAAGAGTTGACGCTTTCTACGGTATACTACGTAGCGCTATTGATAATTTTGTACCCAAATATGTAAGAAAAAAATCTAAATATCCCTCTTGGTATTCTGAGTCACTTATCAGAACTCTGTCTGAAAAAGAGAAATTTAGACTAAAATACCGTAAATACAATAATCCCCGAGATAGACTTACCTTTGAGTTACTACGTAGTCGTTGTCATACTTTAATAAATCATTGTTACAACATATACAAAAGTAAAATTGAAAACGATATTCCCAAAAACCCTAAAGCTTTCTGGCGATTCATAAAAGACAAACGTCGCGGAGAATCTTGCATACCTGCTGAAATGTTTATGAATGATAAGGTAGCTAACAGTGGTCCAGATATTGCTAACCTCTTTGCTGATCAATTTGTCTCTGTTTTTAATCAAAATCCAGCCAATACTTATAGCACCACCAATGGATCTTCTGGTATTGACTCAATCTTAGGCACCATTAAATTAACGGAAAAACAAATTTTGAATAAGCTCAAACTCGTAGATGCTTCCAAAGGTGCTGGACCTGATTGTATACCACCCCTGTTTGTAAAACGCTGCTGCCAAGAACTCGCTCTACCATTGCAGATTATTTTTAATTCTTCCCTTGCTGAGGGTATATTCCCTGATCTTTGGAAGACAGCGAGAATTGTCCCGGTTTTTAAAAAGGGTAATCCTGCCAATGTTCAAAACTATCGCCCTATTTCAATTTTGTCATGTTTTTCTAAAATATTTGAGTCACTTGTTTGTCCAATAATTACTCGCCATATTGACAGAATTATTTCACCAAGTCAGCATGGGTTCAAAGCTGGTCGCAGTGTAGAAACAAACCTCGTTGAGTTTGTGTCGGATGTGACTCAAGCTCTTGATAAAAGACTAGAAGTAGATGCCGTGTACACGGACTTCAGCAGTGCGTTTGACAAAGTTGACCATTCTTTGTTACTGTCCAAGTTGGAGTATAATGGCATACATGGCTCACTTCTAAACTGGTTCAAATCTTATTTATTTCATAGATCGCAGACTCTTGTTGTTAATGGTTACGAATCTTATCCATATTTTGCCGACTCAGGGGTTCCCCAGGGTTCCCACCTTGCACCGGTTTTGTTTTTATTGTTCGTCAACGACATTGGTGCCCAAATCCGTCATTGTAAATATTTAATGTTTGCCGATGATCTCAAAATTTATAAAGTAATAACTTCAAATGAAGACATTACCCTAATTCAGGAGGATTTGGATAGAATAGAAAACTGGTGCAAACTTAATCGCATGAAACTTAACGTACATAAATGTAGCCATATACGATTCACGAGGAAAAAGCAATCTAATGCTGTGACATATAATATAAACGGAGCGTTATTAAAAACGGTAAATGAGGTTCGCGATCTCGGCATCACTATGGACAGTAAAGTTAATTTCATAAGCCATATCGATAACATAGTTACGAAATCGGCACGGCTACTAGGATTCCTTAAAAGAAGTACTAAAGGATTTAAGATAGTAAGAACGAAAATTGTGTTGTATAACGCCTTAGTCCGGAGCCATGTTGAATTTGCCAGCGTAGTGTGGAACCCGCACTACGCAGTACACTCACAAAGAATAGAAAGCATCCAAAGGGCCTTCACAAAACACCTAGCGTA